GCCCATTCGTGCAACAGCCGAGGCTGCTGCGTGGCTCTACCACCCTTAGGTCCAAGATATTATTAAAAATTTAAAACCGAAATCCGCCCCGGGCCCAGATAAGATCAGTAACAAAATTCTCAAAGCTCTCCCTGGGCCGCTTATCTGTTTACTGGCGACCATTTTCAACACTCTACTCTCCAGTTGCTCCTTTCCGGACGACTGGAAACAAGCCACGGTTATCGGCATTCGCAAGCCGAATAAACCAGCCAACCAGCCCTCTAGCTATCGTCCCATCAGCCTCCTCAGTTGCCTGGGGAAGCTCTACGAGCGGCTCTTATTAAACCGGCTCAAAGAGCACGTATTTTCCAACGGCCTTCTGCCCACGGAACAATTCGGCTTTCGAGCTAGACACTCTTGTCCCGACCAGTTATACCGCCTAACGGAGCACATCCTAAAAGGCCTAAACCACCCGAAACATATCAGTACAGGTGCTCTTTTCTTCGATGTCGCAAAGGCATTCGACAAGGTCTGGCACAACGGCTTGCTTTACAAACTGTACACACTCAAAGTGCCAGATAGGCTCGTACACACCATCCGGGCCTTTTTGTTGAATCGCTCCTTTCGATATCGAGTCGAGGGCACCCTCTCCACAAGCCGCCGCCTCACGCCCGGCGTACCACAAGGCTCCTGCCTCTCACCTTTGCTCTTTACGCTCTACACGAGCGACATACCCAAAGACTCCCACGTCAATCTCGCGCTTTTCGCGGATGACACCGCGCTCTTTTATTCAGACCGCAACCTTAGTATACTAACCACTCGACTCCAAAGCGCCGCCGACCGCCTCGGCGATTGGTTCCGCAAATGGAGAATGGAAATAAATCCCGAAAAAAGTGTGGTGATTCACTTCACACGAAGTACTTACCCGTCACATCTTTATAATGGCCCTCGCCAATACAGAAAGTTGGGGCAAATATCCCTTTATGGCCAACCGCTCCCCTGGGAGAAAAAGATCAAATACTTAGGAGTCACTTTCGACTTGCGTATGTCATTTACTACGCATTTAATAACGTTCGTAATAGAGCCGCGTTCTTCTCCGGCCGGCTACACAATTTAACTAACGCTAAAAGTAAAATGCCCTTAAGGCACAAATTATTATTATATAAGACCTGCGTACGACCTATTATGTCCTACGCATGCATGATCTTCGCCCACACGCACCCTACTCGCTTGTACAAGCTGCAAATAGTACAAAATAAGTTCATCCGCCGTGCAACCGGTGCACAGTGGTATCAACGCAACGTCGATCTGCACAGCGATTGCAGACTCCCGACGATTCGCGAATATTTCAAAGATCTGACAAAACGGTTCTTCGATAGAGCCGAACATCATCCCAACCCTCTGGTGGTAAGCGCAGCAAATTACCAACCCGACACAAACGCGAACGTCAACAAGCGTCGCCCGCGAAACGTCCTCATCGACCCGGTCGAGGAATGGGACTTAGATACGCCGGTTCCACCGCCGAGGGTCCCGCCGGATAACACTACACTCACAGCTAGTGTACCAACAAACACAATAGTTCGCCAACACAGAGACCAACACAACGCGTACACAAGGTACACCCGCGTTCCAGGGCGGTTCTCACCGCCCGCAACCACCGATTAGCTAAAAACACAGTCGACGGCCATCGGGGTCTCGGTCCGCACCGCAACTTCGATGGCCCTTAGATGAGATGTCGTAGTTAAACGCACGCATGAGCACATGCGCGGCCCTACCCACAGCGGAGGGCCCAAACCCGTGGGTTCTGGCTAGCCCACCGGTTCGGCGTCAGATGAAGCTTTAATAGTTTTGGGACTGAAAGCAAAAACATCAGTTAATACAAGACAAGACAGATAGAGAAACAATGTTTAAATTGATTTAAACGTTAAATAGTTTAGTTTAATAATGTTAATAAAATCCTGATAAATACGAAAACCTAATACGTTGTACTAGTCCTGATAAATATGATGGACTAATACATGTATGTTCTTACATGCATGTTTCAACTACTCATCCTTTCATCAGATATTTACTTATTCGAGTCTACGAGACAAGTCTACGAGAAATGCATTTCGTCCACCGTCCAACACGCGTGATCAAATAATCCGCGCAATATCACAATCGATGAGTCTCTCGGAACTGTTTCACCAGAGACAAATAAAACATTGTGACGTTACAAAACCAGCGGACGTAACATCGTGCGAACGGCTGTTGCGACATCCCCGTATCCGAATCTGCGAAATGTCCAATTTCGCTTAAAACGACGTCTGTCAACGCGCAGGAGACAGAGTCGTATTAATACTGCGCCTACACCATGACCACAAGTGCCGTAAATACTTATCTATACTGATATTGTAGAGAGTTTGTTTTTAAATTGACGAAAATGAAAGCTCGAAGTGGCATTTAAACATACAGCGTATATACTTATATATTGTACATACTCCATTCCTACTTCTTGTCAACAAAATCATCTACAGAGTTTTATTTATGTGTGAAAGTGGCAAACGAGTTGGCGGATCACCTGATATTAAGTGATAACCGCCCATGGACAGCCGTAACACCCGTAGGGTTGCAGATGCGTTGCCACCTTTTAATAAGTGGTCCCCGGCTACCTCACTCACCAAATGAAACGCGGAAGTGTAACACTTCTACTTCACAACGGTCTTCTGTGAGGCCGTGGTACTAACCCGGACGGACCTGCCCATTCGTGCAACAGCGAACACTGCTGCGTGGCACTACCACAGTGCAAATAGAATATTTGCAAAGACCACTACCGCTTTCGATTCGACTTACATCCAGAATCTCGTTGTTAATTGGGATCACATTTCACTTCCAATCAGTTTTGAAGTGAAAACTTCTTTAGGCGCGTTGAGCAGTTTTTCGGTGGATAAAAATCATAGTATTCGCGTCATCATCACCAAACCCTTTCCGTGAGCCATTTGTAAAAAAAGGAATACGCAAAAATATTTTTGTACTTATGGATATGATATAAATACTGTTTAATTATTAAGTGCCCATGAAATATGTATAATTAAATATTATAAAGTTTTAATTTTGATATTGTTTTATATTTTATCTTCTGCCAGCATTCTCCATGAGACTCGCCTATGTATTTTCCAAATCAAGTTAAGATACATATTTACATGATCTAAAATCTTTAAAAACAAGTAAGTCAGGTTACTAAAATTGGTAAAAATTATTCCCACGTGAAGGTCAAAAGGTTATTGTTACTATATTAGGAAGAAGACTTATTTAGACTTTTACAAAGCCCGATCCAAAACGACATAATCCACATAATAAATATTTTTAGGACACGTTCTTTTTACTCAACATTCTCTAGTCCCAAACTAAGCAATGTATACTAATGTAGAATGTAAACTATGGGTACTAGAAAACTGATAGACATACTTAAACATACTTTTCTTTTGCCAATAAATACACATTATACATATATAAACACCCAGACACTAGAAAAACACTATGCTCATCAATATTTTTCCAGTAGTGGGGATCGAACCCACACCCTCTGAAGGCAGGTACCCACTATCGCCACACTACCGGCTACGCCATTCGGGTCGTCTTTTGCAGACATTACTTAAGCTACGCAAGAATTACATTTAAGAATTCCAATCCAAACATTATATTAAAAGCCCTTCGGAATATTGTCAACATTCACGGAGTGTCGTTTGGAGAGTCATGATTTCCAGAAATGAAAAGGATATTTAAAAATTTATACCTCTACGTCCTCGTCTCGTGCGCGAAATATTTTCAAAGCTCACGTAAGGTCGCATAAACCACATTTATTGCGTTTCGTTTTAACTTTTTTCTCTGCTTAAAGGCCAAAAGATCGAACACGTATGGAATCGGAACGAGGGGCGGAATCAAAAAGGGCCTTATGTCGTTTTATTATTCTTATTAATACTGTCGCAAGATTGCTGTTATTTTGAGATAACCCCATCGCACACAGCGGATCCAAAGTAGGACTTACATGTAGGGCTTGTCAGTTTGAAGGATTTCTTTGGAGCTTTCCTTTATAGGGATCATTACGGGCAATTTAAAAAAAAATAAGTTACACACAGCCCATGTGATATTTTGATTTGAGAATAATCACATAAAACTACGTTATGTAATTAGAATAACGCTATACCACGCATGAATGTTTGATTTGAGATTTTTTACATTACTCGTAAACTACGATATGCAGAACCTTAACGCCATACTATCCCAAAAATTACGATACACGATAATATTGAATTGAATTTATTTTTCAGGTTTTACCAGGTTTCAAGCGACTTCAGCAAAGTTCTCAGTAACTTTAATCATTTTTTTATCTTTAGCGCTGAAATAAAAACCATGAAAAGTTTCCCTGTGCATTAATTTCCTACAAGATTATGTCTTTGCGATTCTAGTAACGGAATATAAAAAAAATAATAAATATTTTAGGACACTTTTTTTTTGCTCAACGTTCTCTAGTGCCAAACTAAGCAACTAACAAACTAAGCTGATAGACATACTTAAACATACTTTTCTTTAGTAAATAAATAGATTTTATACATATCTAAACAACCAGACACTAGGAAAACACAAATAACATAAACATAATAATAACTAACAAAATAATAACAATCAAATATTCTGAACAAATCAATAAATTTACAGCTTCGGAACTTTGTAAGTTAACGAAATATATCATAACTCTAAAATTGTCAAAGTAATCCGTTGAGCTTTATCGAACAAACTTTCAAAGCCAGACCAAGAGATAAACGGTGCTATTTGTTTAGGCATTGAATACATAATAATTTGCACATGAATTTTGACACATATTATTTTAAATTTCACTATTTCTGGTATTATTCACGAAACATTACCAGATTGGTTTTCAATGAATTTAACAAGTAGCCTACATCGATTAATGTTATAAAAGGTAATTAACATTTCAAGTAAATGATGTTAAAATGAAGAAACAACAAGAAATCTAAAATATGACTGTCTTCAAACGTCGGTAATTGTGGTTATCACGAATCGAAATAAGTTAATTTTTCCCGAAAGTCTTCCATACGCAATATAATATTAGCAAGTGTTGCGACAAAAAGAAATAAACGGAGATCAAAATTTAAGGATGATACCGACTTATAAAACGAATATATCGGCCGTTTGAACACAAAAGCAACTTGCGATTTTCTCTCCGCCCGCCGACGTTAAGAGATTGCAAATCCTTGCGAAATGTTGCATTTGTATCTTCATTTCGGGACATTTAATTTCGTATCGCTTTATTTATGTATTGCGTTTCACGTGTTGTCGTTACTTGTAAAGAAATATTACGCACGAACGTAAATGATGTAAAAGTATGTCCACATATTGGTATCCTGACAAAGAGGTGGAGGGGAAAAGAAAGTGTGATTGTATAAGCGAAAATACTGAATCATCATTATCCTACTGCCCGTATCCCACCTACGTGGGGTCGGCGCAGAATCTGATCATGTTGTGATTGGTTTTGGCTAAGTTTTTACTACCGGCCGCCTGCCTGACATCAACCCTACTTGGGAACAAACACCTAGATCCGGAACACTCAAATTCTCAACACGTGCGGTAATCGAACCCACGAAGCCCGACGCCGAAGCCAATACCTTAGCTACAGCGCCACCGAGTTAACTGAACTACTACATGGTCTTTTTATGCAAGTGGGTGACAATGGAGCAGAAAATTCTTGCGATTATCACACAGTGGTCAGTCAAACACACCTATGGGATCTAGTTGCAACTGAATGCAGAAGTGTAAATACTCCTTCTTCACGCCAGTCTTCTGCGTGGCTTTGGTGTGGATTAGCATAGCTTCGGATGAGAACGTCCAAGAAGAAACTAGTGCATAGACCTTACATCAAGTTTTCAGGATTGGTGTTAGGTTGACTGGCAGAAAAAGTTCTTTCGCATTAAGTTCGCCTTTGCACAAAGATTTTTTGTGCATAAAATTTTAAGTTGGTATACGTAATTTGCGCCCATCAAAAAGACCATAAAGTTATCCCGAGACCTTCTTCGGATATCTTGTAGTATTCTTAGTACCCGGGCCCCATTTTATCCTATTACTGTAATGAAAACAATATAAAAATTATGTAAGTCAAAAATGAGACAAAGGTCAATCACGATAGTTACGATAATTTTAATTTTTGCAATAAAAGTAGCGATGCTATCGAAGTGGATCTCAATATCCGAATTCTTCTCAACATATTCATTGTACAAGCGGGTAGCGTGGCCCAACGGTGAAAAACGACCCAAATTAGTTCTGGATAGCCTGGACTTATTTCCTTAGTGGCTGGCTCTTTCGTGGAATGGCTAATGTGATTATGTGGTTTATCGCAGTAATAAAACTCAGGTCGCTTGGCTCAGAAATGTAACGGTTGGTTGTCGTTAGAAATTATGCGGCAGCAAAAGATGCAATAAAACACGCAGAATTGCCTCATGTGATGGTTTTTTATCCATAAAAGAAGTTACTTAGTTGACATCATTTCTTCACAAGGAAAGTAACGGTCGGCGAGATGTATTCTAATTTATTTATTTATGCACACGAATACACATGAAAAATAAAAATTCAGAAAATATAACTTAGCACAACTTTTTGCTACCAAATTGCAACATGAAATTTCTTTCACCAGGTCTGTAATATAATTTTTGTTTTATTCTATTACCACATTTATTACCATTAAGCCTTAACGGTTATCGTAAGTTCGGCTCATTCCAGCATTCCGATTTTTATGCTGCGGATAAAACAAAAGAGTTTGATAACGAGGCTTAAATATGGCTGTAATATATTTTAAAGGTCCTTAATCAGGAGACGCGAACAGCGTTGGCGCTGTCTCGTAAACGGAATTATCGTTGATAATTCCGTTTACGAGTAATTGATTATTGAAAAAAATAAAATCAAACAGGCACATATGTGATTATATTTACGGGCGGGTTGGTGCAACTGGTCGAATAAGATTCCTTTTGTATTTTTTGCATTCATTGCCAAAAAAAATTAATTATCTTTCGGTAATAGATTATGGATACCATGAAATTTCCACTAATTTAGTAGGTTATGTACCTACGTATTAATCTAATGGTAACATTTAATGTAAGTGAAAAAATGGCAAAGATATATAAACCATCTCAGTTGACCAACCATAGTGTTAAACACTAATGAACTAAATAAAGACAAATAATATGACACTTAAAAATCAAGTCAAATGCATTTATTTATAAGAGAATATGAATAACGGTTGATTTGTTATTAATGATGAAACTAATTATATTTGTTTAAGACAAACGGCAAGACAATTTTAAAATTCACTAAATTATAAAACGATGTTTTATCGTTGTATGTACATAATTTTGCGGTAATTTTGACTTCTTTCGCCGTCACTTAATGTTTTAGAGGTTATGTAAGAATGTGACCATAACCAAGCCTTCGAAAGAAATTTCTTAACTGTGTCTAACGTATAGATGTAATGCCTTTTAAAGAACTTAAAAACGCATTGTTATTTCGGAGAGCAGTTTACTGGACATTACTTTATCGGCACTTTGACGATAAATTTCTACTTAGCATTAGGCGATAAATATTATGTCAAGCACGAGTCACTCACTACCTACGAAATTATGTCATTCGTTTGATGTAAAAAATGTTCACTCATAACATAATGTCACATATATTTATTGGAAATGATGACTTAAGTGTTTCGTCATGGGCCACACGTCCCATATATCGAAAACAATTTGTTATTGATAACGTTAACAAAAAACTAAAAATTATCGTTTATTCACTTTTTATCGCTTAATTCTATCAGGTAATGCTTCGGAGACTCTCATCTTTTAGTTTTTTTTTATGTGAGAAGGTGGCAAACGAGCTGGCGGTTCACCTGAAGTTAAGTGATAACCGCCGTTCATGAATATTGCTGCCGGCGTAGGGTTGCTTATGCGTTGCCACCTTTTAATAATAAATTTAATAAAGTTGCCAAGGTGTACTGACGGCTGCGTCAGTACACCTTGCAATTGCACTGACGCAGCCATCCGAGTTGCCACGAAGTGCGGGCCGGACAGAAAACCGGTGTCGGGGTCAGAACGAATCTTAGTTACTGTATCTCGACTTTTACCGAGTCCCGTCCGTTTCACGTTCTTATGCTGCTACACAGACCTTCATTTATTGTTATTATTTTGTTTGTTTTTTGTTATGTTTACATTTATTTTAAGGTTTTCTAATATTATTTTATATATTGTGTAGTAACATTATTATTTTTAAATGTTGTATTTTTCCATTGTGCTTAGACCGTGAATAAACGTTTCTTCTTCTTCTTCTTAATAAATTGGGCCCGGTGATCGAACTCACCAGACGAAATGCAGAAGTATAACACTTCCACTTCACTCCGGTCTTCTGTGAGGTCGTAGTACGGTCCCTAGATAGACCTGCCCATTCGTGCAACAGCGAAGGCTGTTGCTTGATCTTACCACAGAAAAAATATTTTTAATTTGATAGAGCCTCGCATTAGCTCCTTTTCTTCGACCAACCCAAAGGTCTGGCAGGTCCGGGGATGTACCTTTGCCACTTAATATGCGGATGGATAACGTTGTAACAGGTACATTTATATGTACATTTCGTCTGATGAAGGAGGCTCAAACTATTAAAAATAGTGCAACTGTAGCTTTGTGTCTTGCATGGGAATGGATGGCTATTAACGATTACCATCGAGTTGACCGCCGCTTGTAAATAAAATTTAGCAAACACCTACAGTAAAATGAAGTCCAAAAATTGCTGCCTAAACTGTTATGGACAAGACATCGACAGAGTCTTAAATTCGTATGAATTTCATTTTCATTTTTTAATAATTTTATTCTGAGTCGGCAGACTTTTTAAGCTTGATATATATTCAAAGAAATCCTGATGTATTAAATTTGGACATTTAATGTATACAATATGGGAAAAATAAGTCGAACGATATTAAAATTCAAACACTGTCAAAGAGAAATGATGGAATCATGATCTGACTTCTGTCTACCCTAAGCGTTTTACAAGTACTTCATATCAAGATATAAAAACTCCAGCATTTCGAATTTCCCAAGACCTGAGCTGCTAATTTCGACGAGTGTAAATCCATCGGGAAATTGCGAACCGTCACAGGGGCGGAAGACTGTCCTGATGTGGATGTATTTCATCCGTGAGGTGACAAGAACAAATTTTCAGAGGAACTGCCTGTACCGTCTACAATCGCTTCGATGTTCTAGGCGTCTATAAGTGGTACACCGTCATGAATTACGTCATTGAATTTCCCCCTCAAAGCTAATTAGTGCACGCGTTCATTCAGAACGGATGCGATTGGCAGCGAGCCTCGAAACACCGCGCTGTGCAAGCCTCGCGCTGTCGGAGGCCTGCCAATTGCACGGTCCCCCGCTGTTCTGTGCGGGCGTTACGCGGTGTTTGACCCGCTGATAAAGATCCAAGCGTCCGACGCCCGGGAGAATCGCCTGTCCCGTTACGCGATAATGGTGACGCGGCGTCCATTAAGATCGCGCACCGCCACGGTGTTTAGCAAGGGCCCAATAATTCGGGAGCGTGTTGCTAAGCAGATGTTCACGCTGAGTTACGCTCGATCGGACAAATTGTTCTTTTCTTTTTACTGATTTATTTAATAAAAGTTAGGGTAGGATGGCTGTGGCCCAGGGGGTATTAAGAACACGAAAGCGGAGACGCGAAATACAAACATATTCGCAACGTGTATTACGTTACATTTTATTAATGGAGACTAAATTAATGGAGATCGAACCCGGCTCACATAACGTACAGTTGAAGGGGTGATCGCGTAAACCAATACGCCATCGTGCAGTTACTTGCTCGGGCAAGTTTTTTTATGTTTTTCTTATTCTTACAAATATTTTGAATGAAAAGAAAACCCACCTCTTTACCGATTTAAAAAAAAAAAAAACAAGTTATTGTGTGGTAAACGCTATATCGATATTTTTCGGAACGAACGCATGGCTGGATTTTCAGGGGAACTATCACGGACTAACATGAGACCGGCGTCAGGTGGAAGTACTACGTGTAGTCTACTTTCGCGTTTCGTCTGATGAGCGAGGTAACCGAGACCACTTTTTATAATTATCAACGCATCTACAATCCGCCATGTGTTGGAGACAACTAATTTCAATGGGCGTCGGTAATCATGTAAAATCGGGTGGATCGCCGTCTCGCTTGTCAACTTTTCACATCATAAAAATGCATATTGCTTGAGAGTCGCGGATGACCGTCCGCTAGCGCCTCATCAGCGGCGCTGGGTTCCCTCAGTTACGCGGCGTAACGTCACTACAATTTAGGCGGGCTCTTAAATTATGCCCGCTTTCGTAAGATGACCGGACGGAAGAAAGCGAACCGATCGTTATAGATTCAGAGCACAAAAATTGAAAGCACAACGGGCCTCTACGCACATACGTGTTCACTTGGGGCGGCATGTGAAAACGCCGCGTGTGCCGCATGCCTAATACTTTGCCACCAGTGTACTTTCTTCGTTTTTAAGTACATTAGTGAGTGACAGGACCACGTGAAAGTGTTAACGCAATTCGATGCAAAGTTCGAACTTAGAAGATAATGTAGACATCTGTAATAGACGGACAAGGACACGAATTTTATAATCCCAATCGATTTTAATTGTTACAAATGTTGCGTTCATATTTTATCAGTAAATTATGGTATAATAATATCTTTTGGTATCGTTATTAAATTTCAATTGAAACCATGTTATAAATGTATTTATTTTAAATATCATTACTATTCGGGAAAGAGCAATTTTTAAAAGTCGAAACCAATCCCAGAATTTAATCTAAGGCCCCATTATTATATTAGTGTATCTTTATCAAATACAATTTTTATCCCACCGTTATACGTAATCGAAATGGATTCAATAAATAGCAAAACAAAACGCATCTAGCGATAGTTCCGAATGACAAATCGATGATCATATCTCGCTTAAACGAAGTCCGCAATATGCTATCACAAAATGAGCGCGCAAATGATGAATACTTTTTTTTAATAGAATTATCTATCAGCTAAAGTCATCAAGAGGGTTCAAAGTGTCTTCGTTATCGTGATGAAAATAAAGGTCATACTGGAAAGTTCTACGATAATAATCGGTGACAATGAGCAAATGGCCAAATTCTTTGTGAGGTGAGTAAAAACTCATTGATAAAAACTGAGGTTAATGTCGATATAACATACTGGTTATGAAAAACGCTGTAAATGTATGTATGTAAAAATTCCGTGTCAATTTTTTATGATTCATATTAATCCGTCAAATATAATGTTTATATTTCAATAATGTTTGTATTTCCTACATTTTAAAACTTCTGATAACATCATCGTAACGTTTTGTTAAACGTCAAATATATTATCCAAACATTTTTATATTATAAATTGTTTTCAACACGTTATTATAACTGTACACTTCCTTATACTTATTGTCGGAACTATCATCTAAACTGATAAATAAAAGTCACAAAAATTAACAAGTTATCGTTAAATTTATCGATTAAAATGCCTGTCTGACTGGTAGTTAGTTATTAGCGAAAAAAACTAATGGGTGGTTCGGATTTTTTGCATCACAACCCGTAAATAATGCCAGATCAAATGTTACCATAGACGAATTGGATAAGCATTTAAAAATCGCGGAACCGAATGAGCGCATTAATAATGCTCTATGCTCAAGTCCACGCCCGTCGCTGCAAAAAGTTTGTAATAGTTTGTTTTGGCACTTTAATTGCCTCGTTTGAACGAAATAAAAATGGAACTGACACAAAATCACTAAATGTTGTTGTAACTAGTGTAACGTGTGATTTGATCACTTTGTCGAAATTGTTGTTTTTCTAAAGACTAGGCTGCATGTCATATGAACCTTTGCCAGTTCGAAAGGACGAATATAAAAGTTAACTTCATTTGGTCGTACTTGTCACTTGAGATTGCCGCCGGTTCGAATTGACATTGGATAAATTAATTTTTGTGGATCCACTATCTTCGACTGGTAAGTAGTTACTTGGTTTAGTTCATGCCAGTGGTTGTTTTGTTTACGTATTTCGTTTTCTTATCAATTCGCTTTTTTTACAGTGCATAGCTAGAGGTTGAAATCAGAACACGTTCCTGGTCGTATTATTTTTGATTGCTGTCTGGGAAACTCTGTGCTGGATTTGTTATCCCTCGTGGTAAGATCCTCTGTTATTTTCACTGGTTTCCTACTAAAATTGTAAAAGACTTGCATTGTGAATGTATTTAGAAATGTCACATGAAGGTAGGTTGAGAATTTATTGTCTCGTGTTTCTAAGTATGGTTTTTCGAATATCACAGGTGGATGCTGAAGGCATAGGTGGCTGGCAAGCTGGTCTGAGCTGCTGCTCGATTGAATGTTGTTTTTTATCTCCAGTTGGTAAGTGTTTCACATCTTATAATTGTAGGTGGTTTGAAATCCCTGCCTTTGTTAGTTCTACAATGTAGTGTTTGTTGGCAGGAGGTCTCCTATATACCCCCAACAGTCTGGCTGTACACACTACACTTGGCCTGACTTTCTCTACTGGTTCTGAGCTCAACGCTGACCTGTGCACACAGGGCAGATGTCTCTGCGGTGACATAGATTTAAAATAACTACCTGATTGGACTTTATTTTTAAATTGAATTGCATAAGTTTTACCATCTCAAATTAATTTAATTATTTAACATAAATACATCTTAACTGCAAATAAATCTTTTATTAAATCTTCCCATCATTATCTAGACACCCACTATAAAAACGTTACACTAGAAAATAAATAACTATTCCGCGCTTTCGGGGAACCTTATGGTTAAATGGTAGAAAAGTGGTCAAGGAGGCTAAACTTATTATTTTTCTCTGTAACATAATTCAAAAATTATTAACAATTCTTTTTAAATAGTACAGTAGTATAATACTTTCAAAATATTTCCGATAAAAGTCATTGTTCTTATTTAAATTGCAACATCTTTCTTTAACAATCTGTTGGTTCTAATAAAAAAAAAACTAAAAAACCGGACTGCGTTTCTGTCTCATTTTTTATTTTATAAACCCAGTCTCACTCTCACAGTAAATAGGAATCTAACGACACCTCTCAAGCTAAAATCCATTAAGCCGTTCAGGCTGCAGAGCGTGCCTAACAATTATACATACATACACATATACAGACTCTCGAAAAACATAACCCGCCTTCTGGCGTAGTCGGGTAATAATTAAAAGGACTTAAAAAGTATTTTTACCATAAAATTACAAGAAAATATGGTCTACATCTTAGTTCCTAAACGTCCTCACCAAACTATCGATCCTCCGAACAGATTCGTTCAGCATACAGTTGCAGTAACTTACCTGTAAAAAAAACTGTAATAAGTAATCAAGGATATTGATATCAGGCAAAAACTAAAAAAGGATAGTTGATAAAAATTATATTTAATAAATTATAATTAACAGAATATAGTCTATTAATGGGAATAAATATTAGAATTGTGCCTAAAGTATTTCCTACGTAACAATAAGTGTTTTATTTAGCAAAACGCTAATTTAATATCAGTAAGAATGGTCCCTCAAACCGCACTCACGGGGGAGCTGTGTACATCAGTTTTCCCTCCCATTTCTCTTGCATTCTAAGACTCCGCACACAGTGAAAAATAGAAAACCCGTAACAGAAATGTCTGAAAAGTCTTTTCCTTGACCAAACATATTCGTTCGTACGCAAGAACAATTCGTAAAGTAACGACTAATATTTTTTTTGTTCAAGTTACTTACTAATTTTATTACGAACTCATTTCATCATTCTCAGTTTTTTTCCATTCAGAGGAAAGCTTTGGGGGTTTAAAATTATCTCAGACTGACACCATCCTCGGCATTAAAACTTTACATATAGAAAATAAAGAAGCCATTATGTACTTAATACTTGCGTTCAAAGAAAGTACAACATTGTAAAATTAAAGGAAACAAAAGATATAGCGTTTCTTAGAAAAAAAAAGTAATAAATTATTAGTAATAAAAAGAAAAGAAACAATGTTATTATAATAAATTAATTAAAAAAAAAACTAAATGATATAGGTAAATTGTAGGTATATATATAGTGGTGATATGTTGTTTTGTCAAATTAAAAAAATTTAAAAGAATAAAAGAGTTTTGTCAAGCAAAGTAAATTCAGAAAAAAATCGCATCTAAACCTGACCACATCTTTTTAAATTAAAGCTTGATGTTCATTTTATTCTAGTTCTCATGTACACAAAGTCACCTTGGGTGTAAAGAGCGAACGTTCGGATTCACGACATGCGTCATTAAGCTCTTCAGCTCTAAAAGCAAGATGGCGGCCGTTTCACAATTAACGCGAATCGTTAACAGATCGGGACCTGTGATGGAAGCACATATAACGGATGTCGCAAGCCCAATTTTAGTCTGACCATAATGGAGTTTTAGTAACGGATGACATTTCGGTTCAATTTATTTATCCCGATAAAAGGAAGCCGAGCGACATTAATGACGGCACCGTTCGTTTATAACTTTACTTATTTATGGCCAATTATTATCAGATATTCGAACGTTATTTTGATAGCCTACAATAGACGATTCGTTAAAGTTCAGAATTAAGTGTGGTAATGT